CACTGTGTCTACTGAGGAAAGGGGGTTTGACAAGTTAATCCATTCCAAAACATCGTAATGGAAACATCCCCACAGGCTGCTTTTCTCCTCTGCACAGATTATTTTGCATTCCAACTTCCTCCCTTCAATCTAGCATCCTTTTCCAGGGAGAAACTCAAACACACCTGACACCTGGTGTCCATGGTATGATGACAGCCTATCAGCAAAACAATTCTAAAAATCGTACTGACCCGATAAGCTTTTGTTCTGTTTTTACCAGAGGAAAATTTGCCAAAAACAATGACTGTTGAAATATTTAACTGAAATGAGAAGGAGCCTCATTCACATCCTTTCTCAGTTGGACATTATAATTGGAACCATTTTCCCCAACATACATGCACTTCACATGGCCTAAAGAACAGAGAGAAGCATAAACACAACTATGCTAAATCCTTACGGAGAGCAAAAAACACAGGTTGGTAGAGAATGAGAATATTTGGTAATGTTTTGCTTTTTTTTAAATCACAAAATGAACTTGGAACAATTATCAGATGGAATACCTTGTAATGTTGTAAAGACATACACGTCCCCTTCAGGACAATCAATTATTTAAATTAAAATATTTATTTTCTTACAGATCAGTGCAGATTAAGTACATACATCCTCAGCTGTACTTTGTGTTTTTTGATAATGAGCAAATGTTATGGTAAATATGATCATCAGCATGTAAGCATTGTCAAATCTTGGTAGTCTTGTTGTAATATCACACAGCACCAGACCTATGTCTTAGAGACTTTCCTCCTGCTATATTGTCTATTGTTAAACTCGAAAAGAAGAAAATATGATAAACTGTTGTATGAAGGTATGCTCTGCACTTTCTTCCAGTCACCTCAGTTTCCTTATCCAAAGGTATTTTTTATGGTGAGCTAAAATAAAAACCATTACAATATTACAGCTACAATAATGGCATCCTATTTTTTATATATCTGAGCAACTGATGAGCGTCTGTCTTCTTTCTACCTTCTTGCTGGGCTTTCTGAAAGCAGATTAAATGCGCACATACATCAGAGTATAATTTATTATTTATCCACTCCCTTTCGTTCCTTCATTTCAACCTTCACCATCTATTATTCCATTAATATTCTTGCCCTTAAAAGATCAGGTTCAGGTTCCAGTAGTCTGTAGAACTCAGATGTCTTGATTTTTTCAATTCAAGCCTCAAACAGTGCTGCCTTGAGGACATCTATCTGTAGTAAATATCAGGTCAGCAAGATAATGCAAAAATATATCTAGGTTAAGGTCTTAAAAAGTACTATCTTATCTTATCTTAATGGCTCTGTCAGCTATTGAAGGACCTAAGACCCCATTTACACGGGAGCGCAAACGGACCGAATTCGTTATCAAAAAAGTCTTCCGTTCACACGCATTCGGCTTATTTAACGTGTCCGTGCACACGAGACCACTGGAAACGCTGTAGTACATATGCCGGGACTGTAAGTGGCGCTGTACTTCCGCACGAGACCGCTCGTAAGCGCTGGAGACGCTGTAGTACATATGCCGGGCCTGTAAGTGGCGCTGTACTTCTGCCACAAAATACACCAAAAGCAGCGAAGAAGACCCCCGAGCATGGTTGCCATGGTTGCCCTTCTGTTTATGCCCTGCGGTAGATTTAGCAACATGTAGTTCATGTAATTCTCCATGTCCACTTGTTGCTGATGGTTGTGGTAGAGGAGCTGTAGATTTTGCACTAACATCTGTAGCATGGTCGAGCTGTAGATTTTGCACTAACATCTGTAGCATGGTCAGTAGCAGTAGCACTAGCAGTAGCTACTGACAGTAGCTACTGACCATGCTACAGCAGTGAGCAGCAGAGGTGGGGCTATGGCTTCATCGTTATCAGGAAATTATCGTATAGGGCAGGGGTCGGCAACCCTTGGCACGCGTGCCACCATTGGCACGCGGCACCGTAACCAGTGGCACACTAGGAATAAGTGGAATAAGTGTGCAAAATATTTAAATTTTATTTTCGGATCCTGAATGAGACCGCCGCCAGAGCGCGTCTCCCCTTTACCTGCAGAAGGAAGCCATGCGCGCAGTGCAGCCCCGCTCTCTTTAACTCCAGGCGACTTTCTGCCGCTTTCCTCCGTAATGCAGTGCTGATCGTTTCACCACAGAGGAAAGCACTTCACAAATGGCAGTACCCATAAGGAGCTGTACAAATACCGCAGTTTTTGCGTGGCGATCGATATCGGCCGATACTCACTCTCTGCCGATCGATCGGTGCTCTCTAAAAATGCCGATCGCGAGACGTAAAATACATGACACTTTTCTCTGTGTGCGGCAAAACAAGCTCGCCAAAATGGCTTCACCAGTCTGGCAGTATTTTAAGGTGTCCGAAAATGACAATAAAATAGCGGTGCAACGTGTGTGAAGCAGAAATCCTGCAGCTCCACCCGCTGTGACGGACCGGTGAGAGGAGCAAAACACACAAGAGTTAGACCTAACACACTTAGCTATTTGATCTACCTCTGGAACTAGTTATAAATATATGTATTTTTCACTGTCGGGTCACTCATTACTGGATCAGTGAGCTGCATGAGATACTGACAGGCTGTCAGGAGAGAGAGAGAGGGGGAGAGAGGAAAAGAGAGCGCTTCAGCTCATTTCTCCCGTGTTATTATCCAAAGTTAATGTAAACTTGAATAATGTAGGCTACTTCATTTGAATGTAACAATTATGTTGGTTGTTGTTTGTGGAAGCGCCAGTGAATGAGCCCCATTAACTGAGTTTTAAACATTTCTTTAAATGGAAGATCCCCATAGGACCCGCCCACTCGATCGGATCGGCGATCGGAGCATCCCTAATGTAAACGCATTTACATTACCGTTGATAATTCACGATCGTCGGCACGCTGATAAACATTTTTTTTTTTTTAATGGCACTTCATATCAAAAAGGTTGCCGACCCCTGGTATAGGGCGTACACACTGAGCCGTTTGGCCCCCCAGAGCGTTCCGTTTGCAGATCTATCCACCTTGGGACCCGTTATCGTTTGCGGGGTCCGTTTCCGCGGTTCCGTTACGGCCTCGTGTGAACGAACGGGCTATACGTGAGAGAAAAGTAAACACTTCTCGTGTAAACACCGCCTCACATGTGCTTCGTCTATTGACACAGAGACTGTGGAATAAGAAACGGGTTGCTCAGAGAGAAAGGCAAACCTATTGGCAGAATATATTAATGTTTCTCTTATTGTAGCATAAATATGTCCATCTGCTCCAGTATTCATGGGCAATGAGTCAGGTATTATGTAACTATAGTACTCAATATGCATATGTAAAGCATATACATGTAATCATTAAGAATTCAGCCAGCATAAACAGCCACCATCCACCAAAATCATGGAATTTCATATTGGCAGCATAAATATCAGTGAGCAGAAGCATTTAGCCTAACATTGTCTCTCTAATCCAGTCCACAGATACTCAAAATCAGTGGCGAGCCGTCAGGGCCCTCTAGGCCCTCTGTGAGGGCCTAAGATATTCTAAAAAATAAAAAAAATAAATTTTTTTTAAATATATATTTTTTTAATATTATTTTTGTTATATTTTTCATTAGTTTTACCGAAAAAAAACTTGATTTAATTGTATTTAAAATAACATTTCCAAAGAAATAAATCCTTCAAACTCTGTTGAATGTGAAGGGTTACATGAAAGAAGCTCGTCTGGCCCTCTCTGCGATTCACAGAGGGCCCGCTATAGTAACTGAACGAGCGAGTAATGTCAAATGACAGTACAATTGACCAATCATATCTTCCCTCTAAATGGGTGGGTTTTATTATCGCGGACTTTATGACAAGTTCCGCCCGCTGTGAAACTTTTCTTGTTTCCATAGCAACAACAACTTCCTGTCAACAGCGTGAACTCGCCTTCAAAATAAAAGCATGCCAAATTACACTTAAGACATACAACTGCAACGAAAGAAACAAACACAATGCAATATCATTTTCAATGTCAAATAACACAAATTGGGTTCACAGGTGTTGTTTTGTGTGGTAGAGGGTCGCTGTCATTGATGCGTTTTGCACCCTGGGCCGTTGTTTTGATATTCCGCTGAAGTATACGCTGTGACGTAATAACTCTTTTTTATTTCTTTTTTTCTAGGGAATTGGTGGGGGTCAGAGGGCCTAGGTATAAAGCTCACGGCTCGCCACTGCTCAAAATAATGCCCCAAATGGTATGTGGTGGATGCAGGAGCAAAGCACTACAAGAAAGGTGATTAAAATGTGGTTAAAATTCAGTGTTTCTGTTGAATACCTTGTTAATCTCGATCTCTCTGTCTGTACACACAAACTGAAAAATTGACAATAAAGTTGACTTTGACTAATGCTCATCCAAGTTAGGTAGTTTTGACTCTGGCAAGATGAGCTTGTGAAGAATCCTGGTAGTTTTTGCAACCTGCTTTTTTAACATTTTGTTAACATTTGTATCGGTGTGGCCTGGCTCCCTGCCATCGCACTGGCTAAATGGTCCATCGGAAAAATTCCCACTATTCCAGACGACCATTTTGCCAGTGCCAGCAGGATTAAAATGATTAATGTATTGCAATGTTTTGGAGCTTATGTACTTTTTCAGCCCTGCAAAATGTTTTAAAATAGATTGATATTATATAATGAATTGCAGCAACTAAAATCTGTTCTAATTATTAATAATACAAAAAAATTTAAATAGGTTAATCCGAAAATAGTGTTCAAATGAGACTGTGGAGCCCAAGTTGAAAACTCTGAATTCTGTGTGTCATTTTTAATTAATAAATGACAACAACAAATATTTGAAGTTAATGTCTGTTGATCAAATAATCATTATTTGTTTAATTTATTTGTTAATTAATTGTAAATCTAATCCAACTTGTGAATATCAATATGAATGAATCTGCTCGTCATAATTACCACAGCAGGATGTGAAGACAGTAAATCAAACAGAATTGGAAAGATGCACTAAAGTGAAGAAGAGCTCTGTCACTCACCGGCTTGGTTTGTATTGACGGTAACATTCGCCAGCGAGCGTGGAGACACCCCCAGCCCAGAGACGCCATTCGCTGCCTCCACATGGAAGGTGTAGTTGGCGTGTGTTGCAAAATCTAAAATTGCCACAGAGGTTCCAGTCAGACCAAGCGGCCGCGGGATGAACCGCAGGTCTGGCTCACATGGTTCACACTGGGCCACGCCACTGTCGCCATCTCTTTCCTCACAGCGCTGGCACAGGATGTTGTAAGTGATGTCCTTCCTGCCTCCTGTATCGCTAGGAGGCATCCACTGCAAGAAGAGAGCTGTGTCATTGATCAACGAGACCAGATTCCTGGGAGCCGACGGAGGCCCTGGAGAGAGATTTTTCAGAAATACAATTGAAGCAAAACAGCATAACACATATACTGTAGAGGCGTTTGGTTATCGTCTTACTGAATACAAGAGTGGACAAAACACATGATCAATGATCACATTGTGATATGTCCGACTTTACAGCCACTAGGAGTCTACCATTTATCATACAATGATGAAATGAGGAGAAAGAACTCCTATGATACGTATAAGTACTAAATATAACAGCAACTATATACCACTTGTTTGAACTCAAGGATAAAACTAGTGAACACATGATTACCAAAATCTGTCAATTAAAGGACAGCAAAGGTGCACAATCTTTTAGTATATGTGCTATCGAAATAACACAGCAAAGGTGCACAATTAAGTGTGTGTGTTTATGTATGAAGGTGTTTGGCTTTCAAGTTATTATGGAGTATTTTTGTTCCAATAGCCTATGTGTCAATTTCCTGGATGGTACACAGATTAGATTACATTTTTTTTTCCAATTTTCAAAACTTCACAATGTCTATTTTGGCAAAGTGATCATCTGTACTGGAGTGTGTCTTTGAATATCTGTGTGTAGGCGTGAGCGTGGCAAGCTTTCAGAGCGTGAAGTGTTTCAGTCCACCATGTTTCTTGTCATTTATGGATGCTTCTGTCAGAATGTATTATTGCCATGAGTTACGTACATCATAATAAATGTTTTTTGCAAAGTTGAGACATGGATACAGATCTGAACATTTAGGACTATAATTTTGCCAGAATGAAAAAAGCAGATGGATGGGTAATAGTTGGCAAAACTAACTTAAATAAGTTGCAGACATGCAAACAGAAACTAAATAGTTGTTTTTAACGACTTTACTTACTCGTACAAGGCATGGCAGAGGAGTCTTTGATAGCTCTGTAGAAGCCTTTGTCGCAGTGACAGATGGTGGCGGCCTGGTCATGGCTCGAGCTATGTTGTGGACAATCGGTGCATTTAGTGTTCCCAGCATATGCCTTGAAGAAGCCAGGTTTACAGGCTAGTAAAAAAGAGAGGGGGAGGAAGAAGCCAGTTACACAAAGTTAATGTTTCTCATGAGATTGCTTTTTCATCATCACACATACATTTAATTATATTTCCAGCTGCTTCTGATCTGTTCTCACCTGTGGTCTGACCTTATTTCTTGAGATACTATGGATCATTGTAGCTCACAAAGCCACATGCTTATTAGCAAATGTTGCTGTTCATTGTCCAGTCTAACAAATGGCACACACCTGTAATGCTCCTTTTCTTCCAAAAACACGTGTACAAAAAAATACCTAGTAGTAGGCTTATCACTTGTGGAAAGTCACCAAAACGATACGTTACACATTAGTCTACTTGACAGGAGGTGAATTAGTCCGACTTTACTGTTCGTGCGGCTCCACCACAGGTGCTTCATTTCGCCATAGCCACGTAGCCTATGCAGTTTCTTCAAACGCAGAAAACTAGGACATTGTATAACAACCACCTGAAAGGCAATGGTCACTAACAATCAACTGCTAACGTAGCAAGGTGACAAGTGACAACACGCAAAACTCATTAAGTCCCGTCGTCACCTCACCTGGGAATATCAACACGAACTGGGTAAACCGAGTGTACTGCGTGTACCGCTGGCACAATAAAGCTGCATCACATGATAGCGGATGGACGGCTCTGCGTTGCCGTTGTGTTTCCATGGAGAGAGCGGTGCCAACCGGCTAGGCAGAAGCACTACCGTGGGTGTTGCGCACAGGTTGCGCAATGCTCGAAATTGTCAAGAGCTGCGTTCAAAGATCAAATTGTTTCAACTTTGAGCTCGTTTACAGCTGACCTTTCGATGTGCAACTAATCAAATGAAAGCAGCATAAAGCGGCGCGAGTAACTAGCTATTTTCACCGCAAGGCTCTGCGCCCAAAGGGCACATCGCGTATCATGTGAATGCAGTTTAAGGGAAAACCATATGAAACATAACTGCATGAGTTTAAATGGACAAATAACTGACACAAATCTAGATCCAAAACTCAAAAATGAAAAAGCAAATAAATTGCAATATGTGTTGATTAAGTGCAAGCTTTACACGTCAGTAATCATCGTTCTCTTTTTGGCGGAGAAAAGGTTCTGCTTTTGGAGCCCTCTAGGCATGCTGCGCCCTTCCTTCTAGACCAGTCTACCCGACCCGGACCCTATCCATTCAATTCCAGGTAAGAGCTAGCATGATTCCCTCCAAAATGTTGAGTCAACACTGCGATAACTGCGTTGTGAAACTACAAATGAACAACGTTATACGTTTTACTTTAACCAATGGACTGTTTGCTTTAATTAACTTTACACTATTAGCAAACTTGCTGGATGGTAACATACTAACGTTTCGCAGATCACGAATCAGGTGTTAATTTGAAGTTAGCTTGTTAGCTAGATTTTGAATGCAGGACTTTTACTTGTAACAGAGTATTCCTACTCTCTGGTATTTCTACTTTTCCTAAAGTACAAGCTTTAAGTACTACTTCCACCTCTGCAGAACAGGCATTGCACAAGTTTAACTTTAACAATGTAATGCTGGAACAAGAGACTTAATATTTTTGTCATATTATGCAAATAAAAAGGTTTTACTCTTTAAAAAAATAAACATTTACAGGTTTTCTAAGGTAATTTGCTGAGCAGGTTTAGAAACCCCATTCCCAGATATCCTTGAAAACAGGCAGAAGTATCTTTGTATTGTTTGTAGGGAAGGTTAAAAAATAGCGAAGCAAAGCGTGCTTCCAAACTAAAACCTCTCTCCACTTAAATGGTCCATTCTACTTACTTAGGTATTCTCCATCTTCCTGTCCTTAACCCAGTTCACTCTCCTATCTCATTACTTCTAAAGTTCTTTCTTGTTTGACTTTTCCCTTCATTTTTTCCCACCAATTCTCCTTTACTTATCCCTCCAATGTTTCAAACTGTTTTGCTCTGCTAGATTCTCTTGTTTTTTTGTTGAATATGTTTCTTTTCCCCATGTCTTCTGCTGTCTTACCCTTCAATCTTCAGCTAAGATATATCTGAAGGTGGCACACTGTTGCAGATTGTCTCCTTCACAGACTCATCTAATCAGAAAAGTAATAAAGCACTAATAGTAATATTATATTATATGGGCATTGGTATATAACGTATTCTACAGTGATTTGTATGAGAATATATGTTTGTGGATGGGGTGGAGTAATTTGAAAAAGTATCAAGTAAATATGCCAGTTATTAGACAGACAATGTAATGATATAAAAGGCAACATTGGGAAATATAATCAAGCCTTTATTGTATGACAGCCGTAGGGAGCCACATTTATTTATTTTCTTCCTCATTTTCTTAGTGACAGACCATATTACATACATCTTTTATTGTCTGATCAATTCTTGCCTCCATTGAGAAACATTACCACTCTAATCCTTTTGTTGATATTAGCCCTTTTTATTATACAGTGAAGAGTTTCATATACTGTTATGAATGGTGTCCAGCTGCTCCAGTGGATTATCCTGGTAAATAAAGTAGTTGAATTGAACTGCTGCTGGTACTTATATTCCTAAAATAATTGAGATTCAGATTCAACATACCTGAGGCTAGACATTTGTAACAGTGCTACTTTCAATCGTATACCATCAACATTTCAGTTTTTCATTCAACTGATAATTCAATTCTGTGTAGAGACCTGTAGTGAACTATGTCACACCAGCAGCATGGAACATTATTTGGATGAAATTTTAAATTGGACTGTTTTGAATATATCTCCTCTTTATCCATTTCCACTGAGACTTGACCTACCTGAGCTCGGACCTTCTTAGAAATAGCAAATCCTGTATGAGCGACTGGAAAGTAACTCATTTCTTGTTCCCAGCCATCTCAAATGATAGTACAATTTGATGACTGTCCAATATCTGAAAAAATAACTGTCTGCAACAGGTGCACATAATTGAGTATAAAGATATGTATATAATGGATGAGATGAGGGTTTGACACGCAGACAGAAATCCTTGCCAAAATCACATTGCTGATTAGCTTGTAATGGGAAGAGTATATTTGTCAGCAAGATTCCAATTTTTGAGGCACCTCAATCACTTGGTTATTACTTTCTTCCAATGCTGAGCTCCTGCCAAAGGCTACAAACCCACCGATGCATTTGAATTTCCAGCTGCTCCCCCCTCTCTGGTATTTGCTGGCAAAATCACCACCAAAAAGCAATTACAATTCTCATACCACTATTTCTTTCAAAAGGTTTGAAAACGTCTCTGACACATATGCACACACACTGGCGGGAATTGATATCTTATTTGTACTCTATCAGTCTCAGTTCTTTGGCTTTTTTGCCATGAACACATTCTTATTCATGAAAGGAACACAAAATACACATTTCCATTCAGATCTAATACTGCTGTACCAGTGATGTTCATGTGGTGAAGTGCTGGGAATATATAAGTGGGTCCCAGATAAGATGTCAAATTTTTGACAAAACATGTCAGTGTAAACTATCAAAAGGTCAAAAAGTGATCCTTTCATCTACAGTGGTTATTGGGATAAAACCACATAATTGAAATGCTAAGGAAATATGCAAATACATCTTCTTTTTGTTTAAAGATTTACTGTAGGTGCCATAACGCTACTTAGCCCAAGTTCATTATTTGTATTATAATTTTTGGTTTACGTCACTTTTATTTGTTTGTTTGTTGTTTGAATGTTGAGCACTTCCGGTAATTGTCACATGGGTGTGCTTTAGTTATATAAGTCACCTGTTTGATGTCGAGTGCGGATGACAGAGGGTGAGCTTGTGCTGTCATTTTTTCTGTTGATGGTTTTGTCCATAGTTACTATGTTATGATTTTGTTTATTAAATATCGTTAAACTATCTTGCTTCAGTATGGACTTTCTCTTCGAAAACGCGTCACAGTTTATAGCCAAGTTTAGCCTCTCGGCGACTCAAATGTAACTGGAAATTGACCCGCCACATTTACTTTGATTCCTAAAAAATATCAGGATTATTAGTTTTAAATATGTTTTATAAGCTACTTTAAAGAGGTAGGGTCAAGGAGTTAAATAGGTCTTAATTCCCTCCATTATCCATTTTAATATTCATTTATGTGAAAACATCTTCACAAAAATTGTCTTGCTTAAGGTTCTCTGCTAAAACGACCTTTTACAAAGTAACATTTAGCCCATTCCTTTTCAACGTATCAAGTTATTGACTAATTGTTGCAGGCTTAAATACCATCACAGTTTTTTATCGATGAGACTTTCACAATTTCTAGCACAATGTCTTAATTCTATATGGAATGGCATCATAGCTTCTCTTAGATTTGTTTGTAATCCTTAGCAGTATTAGACACTGTAGTTGCATACAGGTAGAGTAACTCAAGTTTTACTCTAATAAACATACATTGTAGTTTTTCTGGCCATTAAGGTGCAAGCTAGCAGCTGATATAGAGCTATAGATGTCATCTGAAGCAATTTACTCACTACCTCTTTATTGGTGTTCACCAAATACAAAGGGAATAATTGAAAAATGACTCTCGCTTTTTAGCGCAAGTTCAACAACAAGTTGCTTACTGTACTTACTGATGTGGTGTTGAAAAGTGGGTTTTGGTGTTTTTTTTTGCTGAAAATAAAACAATGAGCTGGAAGATAATGCACATCTTTGTAGAGCTGATGGAAGCTGCAGAGTAGGGTGCTAATTCTCTGTGGGTATACATCATTGCAAGTGGTCTCTTTTCTAATAACATCATAATAAGATCCATGGAAATATTAATATTTGAGAGTATTAAAAATACCTTGCAATGATTAAACTATCTCTAGGTTATGCAGCATGCTTGAGATTTGAGTTCCAAAAGATAACCTTCAGGGGTTCAGTCAAAGGAAGCTCATCACCTTCACATTTGCAGTAAAGTAATGTCGTGCCTACTAAGAGAATTTGAGTTGTTTGGGTGTGTAGAGTTGGACGTTTTTTTTCTTGGCTTTACGTTGTCAGAAACAGATGGATCCAGAGACTATGTTTACCCTGGACTCTGAGCTTTGATATGCAGATGGGAAGTTCACAGAGAATGAGTGATGCTCTAGTCTGGCAGATCTGCGTTAGAGGCCACAGTAAACACAGTCTGCAAATGGACAGAAGAGGTTGAAGCTCTCCCATACAACTGAACTAAGAGAATGTATTGATTTCCTTATTTCCTATTCAACTTTACCCCAATTCAAGGTCACAAGTGTTACTTTTCCTGCCTGATCAGTCCTGTGTCTTAAGACAGCAGAGGTCATCAGTGAGCAAGCTAAGTTTTGTTAAATTCTGGAGGACTCGCACGGATAGATCATGGAGAAAAGAGCAAATGGAGAATACTAATGGACATTGTTGTTTGATTAAAAAAAATCTTGTTTTACTAGCTTCCTCACTTCCTGGTGCAATAAGGGAAACATGTTTGTGTTTGTATCAACCTAATGAAAAACACAGGAGGTGTTAACAAAAAGCATGATACAAAAGGTTTTGCTAAAACCTTAAAAAATTATGTTTTCTTTATTGTGTAACCACTTAGCCAACTCATGGGTTTTTGTTCTTGTCTGCAAATGTATTCTGATTCAAATGGAATTCAAAAGGACGTCTCTATTAGCTTCTGCAATAATTCACTGCCTCCTTTTTAAATATGGTGTGACGAAAGGATGTGGAACAAATAGCATTAGCTCTATGATGTTGCCTTATCTAGGTCATGATATAACCAACCTATCTCTGAGTAATCCTCTTGTGGCTGACACTGAATGAAAGGAATGGAATAATAAAGCACTCGATTGAGATGTCAAAACAGTCTGGCAGAATGCTATCGGGGTGGAAAGCAGGGTTTCATAAGCGCTGATGCCTTTGTTTAGGCAGCTGGGAGGGAAAGAACGACGTGTTGGCGCAGAGCTCTGCTTATATTTGGGAGCGCTGGGGTTTTCCCTATTCTCTCTTTCTCACTCTCGCTCTCTCTCTCGCTCTCTCTCTCTCCCTCTTTTGCTCTTTCCCCATGCTGCCTCTCAGACAGCTTTGATCACAGCACCCTTTGAAGCAGTGTTCCAAAATGAAAACGAGGAGAAAGCAGAAGTCACCTAAAGTTCATGCCTAAACTTCCTGCAACTACTTGCAAAGTGCACATCTTCATCACAGCTCAAGCCCTGCAAGACCTATGGAAATTATTGATACAAATAATAATTATCTGTTATTTATTAAAGCCATCAATCATTATTTTCAAGACCATAGTGTGTAGCTACTATTGATACACTCTTGCAATCTCATGTTAATGAGTTCAAAGATGCCATTTGAGAATTGCAAAGCAGATAAAAGTCGATAAATGTTACCTGACATTTCAGAATTGGACTAAAATTCCTGTATAGTGTAACCATGGAGCACAGCAGTATCCCTGGTTTTATTTACCCCAGATGCAACAACCGTATTTCCGAGAAGGGGGACTCAAAAAGGAACAGCCATTTTGGGAAATATAGTTGTTTTTTCCGACACAGTAATGTCATATGTTCATATCCAGTGCAGAGATAACTCTTGGAAAGATTTAGAACACAACAGGAACAACCTGTATTTCTCTATCAAAATGTAGTATGTAGCTTAGGCCTTATAAAAGTTTTATATTTTTGTATTTACATGCTGTTGACATTGGACATGTAGTAATGTGTAAGTTATTTGTTACCATTACAGAGACTATTCTTTTTAATAACTGTATACAACAACCAAATAGGTCACTGTGTACAACTCAAAACACTGTTCAGCATTCTCATGAATGAATCTGAACATAGCACAGTTTGGCAGCTGCCGGTTCCTAAGTTATGAACTCTGTATTTTATCTTTGATGTAGCTGAATACATTTCTTAATTTACGTAATGATATATTATCCATAGACTGTATATGCTTATATCACAATGTATATCAATACTGCAATGTCAACTAGAAAATGTTGGCAACTTGGGTTTGTAATTTAGGATGAACATGTAGAACACATCTTAATAGATAGAGAAACGCACATTGCTTTCAAGTGCCAAGTGGGTTACTGCTACATGAGTTACTGACCCATTCAATGTAGCGGCTGCCAAGATCCCCTAGACACTGTTGCAACTACAGTACAATCGAGAGAAGCTCCAGTTAGCCAAAGGGGAGGAACGGGTAGAATAAAGAAGTAGGACATTTACACGGCACACAGTGAGAGTGCTGCTGCTAAGCTGCTGTCAGTAATGTTTGGTGACAGGCTTCTGTGTTGTTTAAATACATATCTGGGATGAAGTAGGGAGGAAAGGGATACATAAGAAGCATGCAAAAGAGGAGAAGATAAAAAGAAAAACTACCCCGTGGAACAAATGTTGGAGATCTTTCAGCGTGGCCTACATATCAGCTTTACTAATGACTGTTGGAGATCTCTCTGTAATAACCTGAGTAACCACATCACCACAGGGGTCCTACTGGAATTTCAGCCTAGCCAGCTGAGAGTTCTGCAAATCTACAAATGTAGCAAGGCGCTAAAGGTGCCCTGCAATTATAATCATGCAGCGTGGCTCCATTAGCACCTGCCTTAATGACAACAGTCAGTTCCAGTTTCATTAATGAATGCCAGGGTTGGTAGAGTTTTAAAAAATACTAGGTGTGAGCTAAATTAGCTGTGAAACTAACAAATGAAGGCAATTAGCCAGCTAGCCTCCAGTTTGTCTGCAGTCTAATTGAGAAACCATACCAAAGACTCTTTCTGGAAAAACTTTTTCTTAATCGGTTTCCCTAACAATCGGCCACATTTAATAAGAAATGCTACAAGTAATTTGAAACAAAGAAAAAAAAAAAACTTTTAAAGAAAGCATTTATCAAAGTTGTTGGATTTGAGTGTTTATGTAAATGTTATGTAAGTGGATGTTTGCATTTATCTACGACATCATGTCATTTATCAAGACAGATTAAAATGTAACAGCAGACATAAAAGCAGCAAACCTAAAACAGTTTGTTATTACAGGAAATTATCCCCTATTTGAACCAAATAATTGATAGAGTCCAGAGAGATTGATATCAAAGCAGAAGTAATTATTTTTAAATGTCATTAAATCCTTGGTGACTCCAATAATCTCTTCATATTATATACGATCCCATAGGAGAAGAGGTTGGTGATGAGAGACAGCAAAAGTGAGACTTAAAAGGGAAGGATGAAAATAGAGCAAATAAAGGGACTTGGAGGAGAAAGAAGGGCGGGGTGTATGTGAAGCGTAAACAAAGTGGACAAGAGAGGAGAGAAGATGATGGGGGGAGGTGGAGCTGTGAGGAGAGATGTGGATGGAGAGGATCAGACAAGGATGCAGGATCTTAGAAAGAGAAGAGGGAGTTGCAGTTCTGTAAACTCAAACGCCTGCAGTTGACTGGAGAGGCCCTAGAGATCTGCTAATGTAATGCAAGGCCTTTTCCTCTCTTACCTTCTCCCCATTTCTCTATCTCTATCTGATTGTTCTCTGCATCTCTAGTTTAAGTACACAGTTGGTGTTCTGTGCTAAATGTAACACAAACACATTACTTACCTTTGCAGTAGCCATCTATCTCCTCGTGGCCGATACTACACACACAGCGGCCCAGGGGTACCAGCCAGTCTCCGTCAGCACCACAGTACAGTTTGGGTGTGTCTCTCTCTTCTGCATTCTCCACACATGCACCCCTAACCTCCACCAGAGAGGAGGAGTCCATATGTGGCACTGTGTCAGGAAACGCTGCCAGGTTCCTTAAAGTCGATGGGCAGCGTTTGTAGAACACCTTTATGTAAAAGGAAGTTAAAGTGAGCTGCCTGTCTTAATAAAAACAAATAGATTTTGTCGTTCATGCAAATATCAGTTGTTCCACATCAGTTCACTGACCTTAACAGACACGAGAGCAATACACGCTCCAACATCCTGGAAGGCTAAGTAGAAGCCCCTCTGGGTCACCGGCCCCACCTCCCTGACCTCAGTGTTGAGGCGAAGAACACGATCGCCAAGATCTGTCTGTGTAAAACTCTCATCCGCCGCTATAGTGTCCACCTTAAAGCCAACAAGAAACAAGCAAACTTCATTATACTTACTGATTAATACCATTAGCCCAACGGAACACTATTTTTCATAATACAGTATGGCTCCAATAACCAACCTTGGCATAGTCAGTAGGCCTGAAGCGAGTCCCTCCAGAGAGCGGCTCTTCTGTCTGCAGGTAGAACAGGTTGAAGGTTTCCTTACAGGTGCCAGACACCCAAGGGATGGAGTTACAGTCTCTCAGGGTGAAACGCAGCTCCACATACACCTGAGTTCAAATATTTTTAAAAGCAAGCTCATTACACATAAGAAACACAGGGCTATTAAACATTTTGTAGTCAGCTCTACAAAGCCAGAGCAATTTCCAGCTTTTTGTTTAGATATTATACAAAAATCAATTAAGTGAATCAGATAAATGAATTTCATAATATTAAATAAGTAAACAAAAACAATAAGCAATACTAAAAAAGGATGACAGCCTATGAATGTTCATCAGATAAAATGTGTGAACAGTCTTTGAAAAACTGACTTGGTGGGATCAAACTATGAATACTTCTGGGGCTTTTGATACAGCTCTGTTTCAGACTTAATGAGCAGTACTCCACGTAATGAGTAGGAAGAAATCTTGCTCTTGATCTTTGATTTCTTATGAACTGTTCTGTATTGAAATTCTTCGCATATTTAGTTCATATTTTTTCTTATGTCATGTCATGTGCCTGACATTTATTTCTCTTATTTAACATATAAGATAGCATTTGCTCCAGTTAATTTGACACTTTCCCAACCTTAAGATAATGTCCCACCAAGCCCTGCTTCAAGACTACTTCATTTGATTTAAATGTCTGAAGAAATGCTGTGATGTTGTCCAGACCCTCTGTGCAGCCTGCCTCTGGATCCATCCCGACCGCAGCCAGTTGTTCTGGTTTGGCTCCATTACGTGGCAGACCTGGAAGGTGTGAATCGGTCTGTTCTGCTCATCCATCTCTGTGATGGCGTCCCACTGAAGAGATAAGGGAAGAAATGACTGTATGGGTACATTTGCCATAAAGCAATCTTAATAAATCTATCCACCACTCTCAACATGGCTTCTAAAAATAGACAATCTAGACAGTTTAGTTCGCTAGTATATTTGCTAAATAGTTCCTGCCGGGCATGTATGCAATAATAAGAATGTCCAATTACTTAATGCCATCATACTTTTTGATCACATGGGTGAACTGACCCTTTAAGACACCAGTAATTTTTGAGTTGGTGATTAATTATCTGTCTTTAGGGCTGTAATATAAAATGGACAACCTGTGCATTTCGTATTTCATGTAGTGAAACCTAATTTCTATAGAAACATGATGTTTGACAGGCACCATGTTAGTCTCACCAATGTTTTCCTTGTGTTGCATCAGCCCGACTCTTTCATTTGTCTGCTTCACTTTAACGGTTGGATGATCACAGCTTCAAAGCTCAAACGTATATTTACTGAACCTCTTACTCACAACTACTGTCACAACAAATGGACGGCTGGGATTGTGTAAGTTACACAGCTAGAAAAAGTGATATCTCAATAACTGGATAACACTACACAACGTTTCTAAGTGTTTACATTGCCTTAATTTACATCTGTTTTATTGAAAACGTATAGATAATGCATTTTTTGAACAATACTCAAGTTAATAATATGAACAAAGCAAATTGAAACACTGCACTGCCATGCATATATTGGTTGTGATTTAATATAATTTCAGTACAATTTAAGCTGGGGTTGAAGGTATATTTTGGCATCACTGGGAGAAAATGACACAAAAACAACCTTTCAATAAATCTAATAATTATGTGGTACATTTTTTGGAAATGCTGCAGCTGTGAGCATTTGGCTATGACGTGCAGAAGGCTAGATTATTATAGAAGAAAATACTTTTTTCACACCAGCTCAACACTCTGAACAGGTCAGCAGTAAGTATGTATCTTGATTGCCCACAGAGAGCGGTCTGCCCACCCCAGATGAGACTCATTTCAACACAAAATAGTCCACTCATAAACAACTCCAAAACTTTCATGGCCATATTTATCATTAAAGTTACAAAGAGAATATGCACTTAACAACACTGTGCTTAACAATATATTCAAGCTAAAAAAGAACAAACTGAATAATGTATTCCTCCATTGGCCTGTCTCCATATGTGTTCTGTTACATGGAATAAACCAGTGAAAAAGAGAGCAAATTCCAGAAAAATACAATGTCACCTTCCTTTACCTTACCTCTTGACATGGATCACTCAAACTTGCATAATGGATTATGGGATACTGAGTTCTGTTCAAGACTACGGTTGTCATTGTGGGCAATAACACACTTTTGGCAAACCCTCAAAATAAAAGGGTCCTTTCAGCCTATTGCAAAGGTTTTGGTCTGTAAATCTTTATGTCTATGTTAGGATCAATCCCCTAAATGTGTACAGAAATACTAAATACTAAAAGGGTGTCACTATCCAATATGTCTCCCAGTGTTCTCCGAGAGGCAAGACACTGAAGCCTCTTCCACGATCATTTCCAGGAGTGGACTGGAAGGAGGACGTGAGAAAGCATAAATAGCTAAATGGAAAGCACTCTGCAACTGCTTATTGATTTCACTCTCTACCTTGTTGGTACCTACATTATGTAATTCTGTATCTGAGTGATATCTGCAAAATGGGCTGTTCAATAGGAGAACATTTGCAAGTCACTGCTCGAATGTGCTATGCATACAATTTAATTTTAGAATGCACACACACATGGTGTTGCTGCTAAGTCCTTAATGAACATCTTAAATATGTTTAACAAAGGACCTGATGAAGGTAGATGACAGAATTGAGTAGTAGAGAAATTGAAACTGAGGTAGAGTGTTCTCTAATATTAATTATTAAAAACACTTTAACCTTGACTGGAGCGTAGTAATTAATCTAATATTAATCAAGCTATCTAAATTAGCTCTATGTGACGCCTACAGGCTAAATAATGAATAAATCATAATCACATCCTCTTTCGTTTGAGACTCTAGCCAGACAATAACGCTACGTCGTGCCTTTTGAAGTCACGTAATCAAATATCATTGCTATGGCAACAAATGAGCAAAATCAAAAACTGGAGGAAACACCTTGGTATAGAATTCAGTTCTATGTTCATACAATAAGCTTTATTATAATGTAACTAGGTTCAGATATGTAAACATTAGCATAATGTTATAACTCTATTTGTTGTATTATTAGCATTTAAGTCCTCTTGGTTTTTCTTTGAGGGGTTTTGGCTAAAGTTGTGGCTCAAGTTTGCAGTTTGAGACAGACAAATCAAACAGGTGTCTTCCAAAGTTTCTTTTAGTACAACATGTTCCCTTTGTATTACCATCCCTCCACTGCATTGCAGCAGACTAACTTACGAAGATACCAAAGACCCATTTGATTTGATGAACTTTAGGATGCATTTTGCTCTGAATGAGACCAGTGGATTTTGTTCCCCGCAGAACATGTTCCGAGAGATGTCTTTATCGCCAGTAAGAGCAGGAGAACTGTTTACAGGACACAGGAACTGATTTGTGTTCAGGTGGGCATTTGGCAACTTAAAGGAAGGTGGGGAGAAAGAGTGGATGACTTGCAGCAAAGTGACGTTCATCTTAATGGAACTTGGATATCTGTAGCAATTTCCTTGGCAATAGATCCGTTAGTTGAGATATTTCTGTCTTGACCAAAGTGTTTGACTGACTGAGAGAAATACATTGCAATCCTTAGTAACACTAGCATGACTGAAAATCTCAAATGTAATGATCATGCCAGTCAGCATGTTACTGCTGAAACTCCCTACAAGTGTATCGAAGTGGAAATGCTGTAGAAATTATAGAAAGGAATTGATAGTTCAAGCAAGACTCACACACTTGAGAGGAGTTTCTGTAACATATACTCTGTCATTTCAGTGCCCTCCTTAGAGACCAGAAACAGAGACTCAGTATCTTTAAATAAAGCAGGCTTTCTGGTTTGCATAAGATCAGCATTAAGTAATTGAAGTTCCATTATGCATACAAACAACCGAAAATGGTAATTTGTCACTTTGTGTGCCTCGGTGTTCTAAAATGCCCCCTTGGGATGTGGCATGGTTCAGAGCAGACAAAACAAATGCAGACCTCGATTTTGAAAGATGAGCTGCAGCCCACGCGCTCTGAGGCAATCAGATATGCACCTACTAATCGCTTTGCCTATTATCCCCAGGCCTAGCAGACTGTAGCAGGCAGAAAACAGGTTTTGAGAACAAGGTGTTTAATTCATTAATGTATTGAATTTACAATAATATTGTGATTTGAGAGTGCAGTACAAGTTTTTTTAAATCTGGCTGGTAAAAAAAGTTATTTGTTGACTTTGTTTGGAGTCTGACTGAGACGAATTACTAATGAAAACTACAGGTGTATAAAAACAATTTGGGGCTTAATTAGTTTGGCTTTGTGACCCTTGAGTTTGTTCTCACTTATTAAGCAATAAAAACACCTCATATCAACACAATGACCATACAGTTAGACCGGCCCACATTAAGCGTCCTAATGGCTTTTTCTTGTTCAGACACACTTTTAAATGTCCAAAGGGATTTCAAGTCTGCAACCAACACAGCAATTAAGGACCATGGTGTCTGCATACAAAAGGGGATTTGAAGGAGAGGCGAAGAAGCATGGAGTACTTCAACATTATTGCTTAGTAAATGAAAATGGACTTATTTGCATTGATGATTTATTATTGTACTAATGTAAACGCATGGTTATTTCAGTTTTGAACATGCCATATGACGGGAAGCTCTATGAACCATCAGCTGGTTTTAAAATTGTTTTTGTGATTTGGAAGGTGTGTGCTTCAACTTAAGTTTTCAAATCCTTTTCGGCATGTTATTGATTTTCCTCTTATAATCATTAATTGTAGTAATTGAATTGTCATGTTTAATCCGTGTTTCTGTTACTTCTTATAGTTTATTTATCTGTTCCAGTGACTGCTAAATCACAAATAATGAGAACCAGTCAAAAATAACCATGCACATTGCTTGACATGGATGCTGTTGTAGCACAGTACAGCCTGTTTTCTCCCATGTTTCCTCCCTGCAGTGTTTTTGTCCCAGCACTCAATACTGGACGGAACAGCTGCCACCTGTGCATGTAAATCCCAATATGTTTATTACACATCCTGTCTCCACCGGGCTTCAGGGTAGACTCCTACCTCTTAGGTGAAGTAGTGTTCTGCATCCTTATTTGAAAACTGACGATGCCAACTGAGCCCTTTTCTGAACTCACAGAGACACACACTAGCCTTCCCCCTGACATAAAGAAGTTGTTGCAAAGCCTCGTGCAGAGACAGCCAGAAAGTGGAAACTTTCTACAGTTTTCTAACATTTCTAACTCCTCTTGTTGGGATGATTTTAGTTTTTCTTGCACAGTTGTTCTCTGCAACTCAAGGTACGCACTCGGCTCGTCACAGAAATCTTTGACAGCCACTAAAGTTATACAATACAATTACAATTGGCTGGGAATAAAGCTAGGTGTGAAAGTGTGACTTCAACTTTATATTCAACACAAGTTCACTGTTGTACGTTCTAATTTTGTGTTACATGACGTCTCAGCCAGTTCCCTCTCCTCGCCCACTTATGGCTCATGTATGTTATTAAACTATAACTACACTGGATGTGGCAGCAGAAGAACTGTGTGAAAAGGGAGCTCAACAGAAAGGGAGCAAAGAGGTGCTCTTTAATGCGATCATTTAATGCAAATGCAGTGCTGTTAGTGCCAAGGAATACTTACACCCTTCAAGAGAGCTTTTGAATTTGGCCTCAACCTATAAACTACAGTATGTGATCATTTTATTCAATCATAATCTCATACTGACACTTGACAATTACTTGTTTTCATGTACCAGAATATGCGAGACAACTGATGACTTGAAGCCGATCGAAGGACAGGTTTATTAACCACCTACTGTCTGCCTGCGGGACACATAACTTTCACTGACTTTTAGAACAATATAAATCTACAAAAAATAATACTACATCATGTATTAGATGTATTTATACATCAGTCATTCTTCTTTTCAGTCACTGTGGTATCCAACTGAAATCATGAAAGTGTGATTTGTTCATTTATTCATTCACATCCATAAATACAAGTAAACAAAAACACACATGTACCTATATCAGCTAAAGCAAAAAAAGAAGCTAAACTCAGTTACTATTTACTTAAATCTGATCAACCAGTGTCAACAAATATAAGAAACAACAAACCAGTATCACTTAATTGGGCTGACTAGACAGACATATCGAGCATCAATAACCAGTACTAGGCATCCAACTATATAACACATAGATAGCCTGTATAAGAAAGGTCTGAGCTGACTACTCCCTGAGGAGGCTCAGGTCCTTCAATGTCTGATAGGGATGAATCGTGTAAAGAGTCCTGTCACAGTGTGATGTTGGGAGCACCAAAAGAAGGCCAACAGACTGAATACACTTCTAAAGACGACTGGGTCTGTCAATGTATCCAAGCTGGTCTCACTGAAGAAGATGGCAGAGGACAAAATGCTGGCAAAGCTATATCATGGATTAAACCTCCCACCCTTTGCACAACCAAGTTCATATTGGAACACTTTAAACATTCGGAAAAGCACACTGTAATATTGTTCATATTGATTGACTTATATTCAACTTTAATTCTAACCTGTGTTTGCTTCATTGTCATCGATGCCTATTTATGTATCTCGCTGCTATATGACATTTTAATTTAACTGCGGGAAGTAATAAGGTTAACTATCTATGAATATCACATCAGCTACATTAATCGAGCACAGATAATGGCATTCCTAAATACACTTTGAACATTTGAAGTATTCCCATGTTTCCCTGTTTAATCCTTTTTGAGCTTGCTGGACTTGAGGCCCCAGTTGTTCAAAGTTCAAAGTTCAAAGATCAGGAGATGTCAGGGAAAAGTACCACAAAGCACAGGGAAGCATATATCAGTGAGTCACTCAAATCCATTTACAGTTCTACACACTTTAACATTTATTTTGGTATTGGTTACCCTGACAACTATCTTTTTATTCTCAGTGGGTAAGCCAGTGGTCACCTGTATTTGTATCTGTATGTGTACAGGGAGGAAAAAAATGAATATTGTAGAGTTCCTTCAAGGTGATCATTTTGAGTATTAACCTTTCATGTTGCTAGGCTTTGAAAAAGACATTACACACATTCTTACGCACTTACCTACGTTGCACAGACAGATATTGTTGTAATAGCAAGGCTAAGAGGTGTGAGGCTTTGATTAGAACAAGACAATTTGTCATTGTCAGACTAAGGGGAAGAGAGTGAGAGAGGCGTTATGAAAATATCATTATAATCTCTGTAGTTGTAATGAATTATTGATTTGCTGTGAATCTGGATGGTGGTGTTGTGTTTTTGTTAAACCAATTAATGACGTTGTTGCTCCCCAAAGCAAAAACCTGTGTAGGCTGTGTGTAGCGAAGAAGCTGTTGCAATATTGGTATTTGGCCCTGAAAATATCTCAGTACTTGGTTTCTATTTATTGGTTTTGCTCAAAAGGATTTATCACACTTTTAATAATGGCCTGAAAGCACAAACAGTCCCGCTTCCACATCTTGTCCTGAATTAGACACATTATAGAAAAATATTCATGTTTTTGATGATTGCTCAGTCCTAGCTGAAATATTTGTCAGAATTAAATCAACGGCATTTCCACTTTCTAAAATGCTCAACTCTGTACAAATAATTTGCTACAATTAAATTAGTTAAAGGCTTGGTCAAATCTGTATTTATTGCGTGACATTTGAAAGACGTGATACCTGCTCTAGGAAGTGTGTATGTTCACACAATGGTCTTTTCACTAAAAACATCACAAAAAGCTAGTGGAAATGTGGCCTTTCATAGTAGTCCTTCATTATGTTCAAGGTATGATGTTTAAATAAGACATAATATAACCAATATCCCTGAACATTTAATATGTTTTTTTTCCACGTCTGCTGTATGCACAAGCATGTATGCAATTCAGGAGAAGCCGACTTAATCTTGCATACTTTACTTTACTTTACTGTTTTAACTAATTCTAGTACCTTGATTCTGATTCTGATCATCTTAACAACCTCCGTTTACTGGATTTGGATCCTCATTTCAAGAATAAAGGATGATGGTGACACATGAGTTTATCCAGGCAATTACCACTTTGACATGTAGACCATGATATTGTTAAATATTATATTGTTTTCTGGTTAAAAAAACATCACATATATGTTAATACTGGACTAAATTTGGTTGAAAAGTGAACTTAAAGTAGCATATAGCCATGGTATAGACATCTTCCATTCATTGCAACATACTGTATTTCCAACACACACTAATCGTGGTAGTGTACTAAAGCCATCAAAGCTCTGCACATTCTGCATGGCAGCTGCCACGCTGCTCACCCTAAAGCTAAGCTGTCACTTGCTGCTCCTGCTGACACTGTTCAGCATTTCAAAAGCCCTACAGCATCCACCTAGATGGTATTATCGCTCTTCACTGCCAGCTCTGCCTTGCTTGATGCTTCCTTGTGTTGGAGGTCAGAGCCTTGACATCAATGCTGTATATATTATCATTCACATAATACTGACTGACTTGGCTAACTTAACTACAGTCCAATATGAAGCACATGTTGAGGTTAAGCATTAAAATACCATTGAAAGAATGTAATGTAACCTGGACACCTTAAAAACTTCACTTGTCAACTATTTTTATCCTGGTTTTAACCTTGGCATAGAGGTTATATATTTGCAGATTTGTTTTGCGGAGTTGTTGACACTGGATGACACGTAGGTCTGAATACTGTCAAAAAGGTTGGCATGAAAAATATGAAGCCTGCTGCCTGTATGTTTATACTGAGACCCAGGGTCCTGTCTCCTGTCTGTCCCCGACACTTACAGTTTGAGCAAAACTTTGACAACTTTGACTACTCTAGCTCAGGTTGGAAGGGGTTGTAGGTCAGGTTTATGACTCTTTGGATGTTCAGGTCCAATGAACATCAAAGAGTCCAATGTTCATGTCCAATAGTCATTGGTTTATCAAACAGTAATATTTCATGTTGTATAATATACATTTTGCTCCCTTGTTTGACTGGCAAATATTGGCAAGTTTCTGAACAACAGACACAAAAAACTGTTGTGAATATTCTTATTTACTAATGTTACTTACCCCATTGACAGGATATGTATTCCAGTCCAGTTCGCCTAGCACTGTCGTAGTGTCCAACAGAACCACTAGAGAGAATGGGGTGGAGAAAAGAAAGTCATGTAAGAAAGTCATGGAGAAGAAAAGTTGGAAGAAGGACAATATAACACAAAGTGTGACATGAGAGGGGAAGAGAGAGTGTGAGAGATGTTGGGCAGTGAATTTAAAAAGAAGCGAAATAGAGGTGACAAAATAAGAAGGGAGCAGACAATAGTTATCAAGCTGTCAATGAGGAGCAGACAGAGATGTAAAGCCCTTATCGGATTCAACCAGCTATGAAATAACAGCTTTTAGGAAAGAACACCAACACTACCACGGATCCGCCCTCCACCTGGAAGTCTGGAAGATTAGTACTCTCCTTCTCAGAGGTCAGGAGTGTACATCAAGATGAGCCAAAGATGCATCAAGGAGAAAGACACAACTTCAAATATTTAACAAAAAAAATATGACCTAATGAAAGGATAACAATAGCCAATTTAAGACAAATAAGTTCATCTTTTATCAATGGGGACAACCTTTCAATTAGGATCAATACATTATTGGAATTTCACTAAAGTGCCATTGAGCCAATTCATCTCTTGATAGCAAAGCCTTGTATCCCAAAAATGATGCCCATATTGGATGATTACTCACAATTTAGGTCCAGTTGCAACTATCAGTACCAATGTGCTTGGAATGCTGGTTAAGTGTACGGTAAATCTTTCATGCAGGAGGGGAGTTTGCCTTAAGCAACATATCTGATCTTTTGCCTTTTTATTAACAACCGTCATTCATGTGTATTAGTTGCCTTACTCTAAACACAACATATTGTTTTGCCATAATTAAATCACCATTCTGTAGTTGACATGCAAATATGTTATAGAGTGATAATTAAAAAAATATATATATATTAAAAGTCACTAAAAGTAATCCAGGGTTTTGCAGTTTCATACAATATTGACGTTCCTGTTTTGCGATAGCTGCAATGAGATGTGTGAACATGTTTTGTCAAATTGGGAAAGTGTTGTTATGTACAACAATAAATGGATTAGTGAACAGATGAGTGCACAAGACGATCTGGGCCTCATTGTTCTAAAAGGCAAATGTGCACTGCAGAGATTATCCGCAGTAAGCAAACAAGGAAACGCATGATGCCAATCTGAACACGATCCAGTGTGACACAACAAAATGTGGATGGACAGACAGATGAAAGACAGATGAACCGACTAATTATATGTTTTAATGATGAGGGACAGCCACTTTTTGCATTTTGGCTTAAGACTTTATTCACATCTGTCTACCTTATGTCCAATTCCGACTGTACAATATCAGCCTGACCCTCTGGCAGACTCGGGGCTTTGCTAATTTTAGTAATAAAAGAAGCGTTGCTTAACTGGAAACTAAACTACTCAGCATTTGAGATACATTGCAATCAACAACAAGAGTACCAATTCATATTCCTTTTCCCTTTGTCTGGTTTTGCAAGCAATAGAGTGGTGTAGTGACAAGTACTAAAACCCGAAGTGAGTTAGCATTTTACCACCTCCGGTTCCCTCGTCTCGGAGTCAATGGGATATCTCCATAGGATTTTGGAAAATAGCTCGAAATAAGGTCTGTGGTTGACAACAATGTAAGAGACGGATCACGTTTTGTTCTACGACCTTAAATACATCAGCAGTGACCCCAGTGGTGATTCTTGAAGAGTTTACGTGTCTGAAAAATGATGGTTGTTAACAAGTGGCTGAATAGGACTACAGAAGTTGTCGAGGACGTTGTACGTCATTAAGCCGAACACGTAAACACTCCCGCTAAGTTTGTTTGCCCTGTTCTGCTTGAAAGCAAGTACTTGCCTCCTGCAAACTGTTAAAACAAATGCTTCAACTTGTACAATTTTGAATCTGTATTTTTGAACATCGATCTCAAGTTGGCGTGACGTTGAAGTCGTGCGACCCTGCTGTAGTTCGTTTATATCATAACGTTAACATTTTGCTTCTGGCGATTAGATATACGATTCGAAAATTATAAAAAGTAGGTTAGACATGTGGATATTATCCGGCTGAACAAAACGTGCATTTATCTAACAGGTTCGTATTCCACAGACCTTATTTCGAGCTATTTTCCAAAATCCTATGGAGAAATCCCATTGCTTTTTTGTCGAGGGAACCCATGTGCAGCTTACTTCCGGGTAAATACGTCATCCCTGCACCACTCTATGCAAGTCGTGAAACAGCGTACCTCTGATTCGTCCAGTTCTAAAGTTTAGCATCGCTCGGCCATGTCATGCCAAGAAGGACTATACTAGCTAATTTGACACGGTGAGCATGTTAAAATAAGTAAACATGGTGTATTCTAATCTTGCCATTAGTGTTAGGTGTTTTCTTTTTGGATGAGCATGTTAACAACTGTGTTACTCTGTGACCACATTGTGTGCATACAGGTGTAACATCCTCGAGCTGTCTGCACTCTGGTCACGGCTCAGGCATGATGAGCCATTATCTGGCCCCGCGCTAAGCCCCCTCAGCCAATTTGATAGGATAAATGTGCAATTTCCTTTGTCTCCACACAGCCAGTTAATTACAATCTCTAACAATAAAGTGCCATCCCACTTATGCAGTCGACACTCTCGACGAAGGAGTCACATCTTCAGACGACCTGTCACTCCAGTTTACGGCGGACTTTGCCAAATCTGGACTAATTTAATGGGGTTGCTTCTGTTTTGAGAGCAAGTCAGATAACCAGAGCAGATACATTTTGGTGAGACTAAATGAACCGCTTCAGTATTTACAGAGACTTAATTTAGCCTTGATCCCCTGCTGGTAATTAAGGGCTGAGTTATAATAAGATGGCCTTGGTTCTGTTCAAAAGTTGGACACAGAGAGGAGAGAGAGAGAAAGACTGTGAGATTTGGATTTTTTACTTAATTAGCCTAGAAAAAAACTATCCTTCATTAGTATGACTGATCCGTTCCATATCATGTTTGAAAGCAGCAAACCTTTCCCAACAACTCCCTTCACTGTGTTTCTGTCCGTGTCTTACACACACACTAACACTCACACACACACACAAAACATACATACACAGTATCGTAGTCATAAAATAATTAAATTCCTGCAACTGTCTTTGCAGCCAGGAAATAATAGATGACCCAAGACCACGGTGCTGAATTTGATACACAGATTTTTATCACTCAGGAGGAAAGCAAATCACATTACTCCTGTCTGGGTATTGTGTCTGGGAGCATAGTAATCTGCAAATATCTTTTGCTATAGGACCATCGGATAAATATCACATTTCAGAAAGATGGTGGGTACAAATAATCTCTATAGCAATAAACTGCCCCATTTTCTCATGTGATCTCTTACTGATACACTTGCAGTGACATTGTCGGGTGCACATGTTCATTGTGTCAGCAAACAAATGTTTAACAATCAAATCCTGAAGCTGAATTGAGTGCTTTTTCAGCTAATCTGTGGCATTCAGTTTGTTTCTACCTGCTTGAAGCTCACTTACACACTCAAGATGTAATAACTGTGCTGTTGATAGGCGGTTGCTTAGCTATAAATCATTAACGACTAACTGCTTTTATAGGCATATTGTTCTATCAAACTGAACAAAAGGTTTGAACCAGTAACAGAGTAATCTTAGCATCTGACCGTGAACACAGTCCAAAACAAAGGCACTGTGAACGTCACGGCTTCAATGTCACAGGAGAAAAGAACTCGACTTGTTGCTGGATATTTTTACAGATAAATCAAAGACATAAAACTTAAAAGTGGGCTTTCTTTTTGTTTTGGAGAGAACCAGGCTAGCTTGTTACACCTTCTTCTAGTTATATGTTATTGGACTTATATTGTGATACATTTTTTTGACCTTATACTTGCCAACACTCCTGCACCAAATATTATTGTCTTGTGTCCACATGCACCACATGTCAATGCCTACCTACTTACTGTATAGTGGCATAGATTACACACATCTCTTCAGTACACAGCCTTCTATTTAAACCAAGTTAGTATTTGTCTGAGTCTATCCAAGAAGACAAGCTTGGCTTAAATCCGCCAGAGACAACAAATTATATAAGGGTCCTCTTTTTTTTCTGTTTCTAGGATGTGGTTACAGAAGACCATTGGGAGAGGAACAGTCATTATTTTCTTTATGAGATGATGATAAAAGTTGACATCTAATTCACCTGATCATGACAGAGTTGATATATTAAAATAGGAAAACAGTGCAGCATCTGCCCCGACGCAGCACGCTACTGTTGTGTCAACTGTTACCGAGATGTCCGACCGATCCTTTTAAAAACACACTAGATAACTAAGAAAGGTTTAAGTATATAGTCGATTAAGGAAATCATTTATTTACAGCTAATTTGCACAGTTTATGTTAAGACATTTGATGGGGCATGTATACTTTTCGTACTTCTTAAACTAGAACTGGCCTAATTTGACACAATTGATAGTAAAGTATCTTTATATTGACTGCATTCACAACAGCTAAAATACCAATTAATATCATGTTATATACAAACTACATCTCATCTCTCTCACTTCCCTCAGTCTGAATACATTCATATTCAATTCACATTCACTAGCAAACTCACTCAGATAAACTGCATCGGCTAACATATAGAAAAGCCTGCTCTCACTCAATTCTAAACTCCTCATGTTGTCTTTTTCTAAAGTTCCCCCTGTGCATCCCCTCGCCTTCAAACCTGTCACCACCACGGGCAGACAGGCATCCTAAGGGGAACACTGAGCAAACACACACACACACACACACACACACACACACACACACACACACACACACACACACACACACACACACACACACACACACACACACACACACACACACACACACACACACACACACACACACACACACACACACACACACACACACACACACACACACACACACACACACACACACAAATGAAGTGAAGGAGACTTTGACATAAACATTCAGGAAGGAATATTAAACTGACCCCTGCAAATGTGCAGGGTGGAATATGTCAAGAACAGATAACATCATGGAAACCCATTTCCCATGTGACTTATGATATGGACTGAGTGTACTGTAGATGAAATCATTATGTCCCATGTTTCTCATAAATATGCAACATGCTGCCCATATGACTAGAAAATACATTTTGAAAAGCAGGAAATTATTCTGTGTAAACTAATGGTCCAACACAATAAATATATAATGTTTGGAAATAATTATAGCTAAAGTAAAAGGAATCTGGTGTGGCCATTATTGAAAAATATTATCAGCTATGAATGAACTCAGCATGGGGGACAGAAAAAACTCTAAATTATGACATTTGACAGAGTTGGCCAGAGGCTGCCATTTACTGTAACACTCTGTGATCTCTGGCTTTGCCCATGTTTCTGTGCACTCAGATTTGGATGGTGAAGTATCAGAGCCTTAATAATTTGGGTGATGGAGATCTCAATCTGTACCGCACACAGAACCCAGGTGTGCATTTTGATTCTGTAAATGTATTTCAGCAACATACTGTAACATTCAAATATTTTGAGATGAAGTGGATAACAACGTACTAAATTATGACTTACTTTGGCATGTTTAGTCTTTTAAAGATGGGTGCTCTAGTTGTACAGCATCAGTTATTAGGATAGATGAATGATATCAGGAAAACGGAAATGTAATGCTGTCAATGTGTTTTTTTTGGTAAAATTCGGCAAAGTTAATAGGAGATTGAGCGTTTTGGAAAAGTGGCCAAGATATCACAAGATATATGGTATCAATGATTGGATGAGATTAGATCTACAAGAACCAAGATTTTTTTGACAAATTCAGAGTAAGATTGATACTAAAAGTAACCAACACGTGATTATTACTGCTAAAGATGAGTTTCTTAAACTAGCCTTCAGTATCAGTGAGGAGTACCGTGAGCCTCTGCTAAGATCAATGAACTTGATTCCAACACATCGACTATATCACATGCATTGTGAAGCTGTACATTTTTGAATGTGGATTCCTTGTTAACTTCTGAATCAAATACATATATTTAGTGAAGGACTAGGTGTGTGAGTCATTATTAATACTGCCATATGTTAAGTCTTTCAGAGATGTGTGTGATCAGAACAACAAATAAAAGGATTAAAACCAATACTGAGATCTTTTGGTTTTAACCAACATTGTTGAATGCATTTTTAGGCGGCACATGCATAAATGTGTGTTGTTCTATAGATTCATAGCCAGATCAGAGCCAACACATTGTTATACTGCCATTTTTAGTGTACAAGGTTTTGTGTAAGCTTTAAAGTATTGTTAGGTAAGATACTGCAACACAGACTGATATATATTGGTTCACACAACATATTTAAATATTTGACATACATTTTTAGACTATAAATAATGAAATTGTTTAAATTGTTTGCACATTTCAAACCAAACCTCCACTCAACTAAAAAAACGATGCTATAGGGTCCAATGTCGATGTATTGGTTGTTGAATAACTAATACATTTACATTTATGGGGAATGGTAAAACGCCTGAGGTAAAAAATAAGTCACCCAGTGTCATTCTATCATTATGGATACAATTAAGACTTTATACTGTTACTTTAGCCTAGTGTGTGTCACCTTTGAAAAGATTACACTTAATCACACATGTAAATAAGGTGACTGCACTAGATTCATGAACTATTCTTATTTTGTTTAAAGTGTATGTTAATGTCATTATACATTCATGGTATGATTGCAGACCGTAAACGAGATTGAACAGCACAATATTAAGTTACCTTGTGCGTAATGGGGAGGGCAGAGGTTCCGTGTTTCTGGAAATACTCAACATTTGTCAGATTTGTTGCACCCAACCTTGTTCTTAAGTTTGTGGTTTAAATGCTCTTTGTACTCACCCTGGTTTGTGGTTCCCGGGTCCGACAGAATACTTCTGAACAGAAACAAAAGCACACAGTATTTCCCCCCGGAGCACATCGTTGAGTCAGACACAAGTGCGCTCGGAACTAAAACGCTGCACAGACTCCTAAATAGATCCCCAAAAGGGAAATATGGGGTTTCATGTAAGAGGCTACTGAAATCGTCCCCGTACGCACACTCAGAAGGTCACTCTCAGATCCATAGGAGTTCTTATTTATTTCTCAGCCATCCCAGACGATATAAACGGCCAGCCATTGCGCGCAAAGAGCCCGATTGCTTCAGCTGTAGCGAGTTTAACAACTAACAAAATAAGTGGAGTAGTGTCCGTGTCTTAAACTCAAACAAGGACAGGTCGCCGGGTGCAGAGTATCCCCAAAGTGTCCCAAGGTAGTAGTGTTTAAGTCAGTTAGTTTGACAGTTGGTACCCCTTTTATCGAGAGAGAAAAGGGAAAATCCCGGACTTCCCGCTTCACTTTCAGCCAATGCATCCCTCACTGTGTCTCTGCATCCGTGCGTGCATCTCCCCCCTCGCTCTCTCTCTATCTCTCTCTCACTCACTCTCTCTCGCCCTCTTTCTGGCGCAAGGTGAGGAGCCGGTTTTTAAATCACAAGTCACTGCGCGCACATGTAACTTGGTCTGTGTGAAATCTCTCACTTGGCTTCTTGTAAACGCGAGGGTCAGTCCTTCCCATCAGAGCTATGCGTGGGCTTCTCTGTTATTGATTCAGGGGGATACACTGGGGAAATGGAAGGAAATATGAAGCCATTATTAAAGTCAGTGTATCCCATCTGTGCCATGATGTAGCCTAGGTTATACCTGCATTGGATTATGTTGTTGGAATAGTAATGTGTCTGGGCCAGTTTCTATTTATGGTGGCAGGAGAGGAAGGCGAGCAGACTAATAGTATAAGTTGATATGGGGCATGTTGGGTTGAAGCTGCACACACACACATATTAATTTACATGATCCTGAGTCACTTCATTGCTGTGAGTGAACATTTAAAAGCTATACTCTGCAGCCTATCAAGTACTGTAATTAACTGTTCCTCTTGCCATCACATGACGCAACACAAGGGGGGGGGGGTACCCTACCCTACCCTAGTTCTATAAGCACAGGCGGAGCCCTCTACTGGACTCTATGGGTACTACTCTCATCAATGACACGCGAGCGTTCACACACTGAAGTTGTACAAACCTAGCCGGCCAATCAGGGCAAGCCTACCTGAATGCGCGTGCAGGCACACAGTATATAAGGAGGCTACGCCTCCTGACTGTCATCCTACCCTCTTCAGCGAGCGGCATAGGAAAGACAGGGCCCCTAGGTAGAGGGCTCCGCCTGTGCTTATAGAACTAGGGTTACAATACGTAACCCCCCGTTCTATCTCACACAGGCTCCGCCCTCTACTGGACTCTATGGGTACAGTGGGTGGAGCCCCGATGGATAAACGCCCTGTCGTCCTACAACATCGATCCGCCACACTGCCCCTGACCGGCCTTTGGTTAACAGCCACCGCACCCCAACTTCGTATCACCCGGTTGTGACCGTGGAGAAGTCGGGGCCGCAGCTTACCTGGTCTGAATAAGCCCATAGCTCCACCCTGCAGGTGCCAGCGCAAGTGACTATACACTGCGCACTACGTTTCCCAGGTGCCTAAGGAGCATGGGGAGAACGTAAGTGTACCGTGTCCCCCACATTCACACGCTTACCTCGTGCAGAGTGTGCATGGACTGCACCTCGAGCATGGACTGCACCTCGAGCACCAACGGCAGATCCCATTTCGGGGTGGAGACATGCACCACTGGGCGCTGTCTCCTGACCCCCTGCAAAAAACGCGCCATAAGTGGTTGACTAAAGGCTGACCTGCCGCCAAATCCCTCATGGTAGGACGAGATGGCTGCTGCATACACCTTCATTGTGGAATGAGCAAGCCCCCTGTCCACCAGTATCTGTAAATAGGACAGAATAGAGTACATGATAGAGGCTCTAGACTCCTTTCTTCACACCACTGCTGGAATCTCAACCACTTCCTCCTGTAACAGGCTGTGGTGGATCCTGCTCTTGCTGCCTGGATAGTCTGAATAACTTTGTCAGACAGTCCCTCCCGTCTTAGCCTGTCCCTCTCAGGAACCAAGCCTGGAGAGGTTGGCCCAGAGTGGGTAACGCCCCTATTGCACCTGCTTCCTGAGACAACGCCCCCCAGACTTGAGGAACCGCCCAGGGCTGACCCACCATCATCTGTGTCACCTCTGCGTACCACGGCGCCGAGCGGCGACTGACAATCGTTCTCGTCTCACCCTCTCCAGGAGGGGGAGAATGAGACGCAGCGGTGGAAAGGCGTAGAGCAGGGGTCGGCAACGGTGCCGCGTGCCAATGCTGGCACGCGGCACCGTAACCAGTGGCACACTAGGAATAAGTGGAATAAGTGTGCAAAATATTTAAATTGTATTTTCGGATCCTGAACGAGACCGCCGCCAGGGCGCGTCTCCCCGTTACCTGCAGAAGGAAGCCATGCACGCAGCGCAGCCCCGCTCTGTTTAACTCCAGGTGACTTTCTGCCGCTTTCCTCCGTGGTGCAGGGCTGATCGTTTCACCACGGAGGAAAGCACAAATTGCAGTACCCATAAGGAGCTGTACAAATACCACAGTTTTTATGTGGCTGTGTCTTTAGTTGAAAGCCCAGTGGCGATCTGCTCATCTCTCATTGAAATAATATGCTACAAAGGGGCGGACTGGCCATCTGTGTGTTGAACTTTCCTGTCGGCTCCCAGACCGTAGTCGAGGAGGGCAGAAGCAACAAGCTTCAGGTTCAATAACCCACTTTAGCTTAAATGACTGGAGAGAGGCGAGCTCTTCTTGGGAGGCCGTTGCATTTATTTAGCTGTTCTTCTGTTTCACAAAATACATCACAGACCTCTGTTTTCTGCTGCCTCGTTTCACTTCCAGAAACATACACACGCTCGCTCACTCTCGCTCTACCATCCACACACACACATGCACACGCCACACCCCTCTCTCTCTCTCTCTTAAAGGGACAGCGATCTCATCTCACTCTGCATGACCCTAATATCATAACATGTGTGTTCTGGAGAATCACAGAACGGACGATCGTCCTTATTATTTTGCCGTATAAACCAATTATTTAAATGTGCGTGTTAAATTCGGAATTATGTAAGTTGTGCTGACAGGTCCACACACTGCTTCCCCGCAGCGAGGCCCCCCCGCCCTCCTGTTGATAGTTCACCAGCGTCAAGCTCCTCAACCCCCCCCCCCCGTTGATCATTCTCGATCGTTGGCACGCTGATAACAATTAATTTTTTTAATGGCACTTCATATCAAAAAGGTTGCCGACCCCTGGCGTAGAGCATGTAAATAGGACAGAATAGAGCCCAATGTACTGGACAGAGGCTCTAGACTCTCCTCCTCGCACCAACGTTGGAATCCCAACCACTTCATCCTGTAACAGGCTGTGGTGGATCCCACTCCTGCTGCCTGGATAGTCTGTATAACATTGTCAGACAGTCCACCCCTTCTCGGCCTGTCCCTCTCAGGAGCCAAGCCTGGAGAGGTTGGCCCAGAGTGGGTAACGCCCCTATTGCACCTGCGGTGGAAAGGCGTAGAGCAGCTATATTGGCCATGGCTCGTGTGCAAACGTGTCCACCCCCAAGGGTGGATTGTCCTGCCGAGCCAGGCAGAACCACCATTCGTCTGGCAGGGGCCCGGCTCTTGACATGAGGCCGGCCCCCCTGTTCTCCAGTCCCGGAATGTGGGGGGCCTTTAGAGATAAAAACATTCTCTGAGGCCCACAACCACAGGTTCTCCGCTGCGCTAAACAAGGCGGCGGAGCTGACTCCGTCCTGCCTGTTGATGTAAGCCTCTGTGGTGCGGTTGTCGCTCCTCACCAGCACATGTTTGCCCTGTAGTAAGGGTTTGCAGTGCTGTAGGAGCAGTACTACTGCCTGTAGCTCTAGAAGGTTGATGTGCCGAGTTTCTGTCAGAGGCCACCCACCACCTATAGCTCTCTCTAGGCAGGTCCCCCCCCCATCCTGTCACGGATGCATCTGTGAACACCGTGATGTAGGAGGTCACCCGCCCCAGTGGAGTTCCCCTCCGCAGATGCTTTGGGGACCCCCAGTATCGGAGGTTGCCCTCCACTGAGGGGGGGGATGGTCACCAGACGTCGTTTGTGCCTCTTGGGATCTAAACGAAGGCCGGCAAACCACCTCTGCAGGCGACGCATATGCAGTAACCCCAGCGGTACCACGAGGTGAGCAGCCGCCATGAGACCCAGAGTCTGCATGATGGTCAAAGCTGTCACCGTTGCCCCCTGTCGCAGTCTGCAAACTGCCTGAAGCAGGGATGCCTGTCTGCTCTCTGACAGGGTGGCACGTCAAAATCCCCAGATACTCCACCTGCTGGTGAGGTATGGGACTGCTCTTCTTCCAATTGACCGCAATCCCCACTTGGATCAATTGGGCTGTGTTTGCCCCTTCCCTGGACCTGGACATGACTATGAGGTCGTAAAAGAAAACCCTCATGCCATGGTTGTGAAGCGGCTGAAGCGCTGTGGCCACACATTTGCTGAACGTGCGTGGGGATAGGGAGTAGCCTAACGGTAGTCTGTTGTACTCGTAGGCTACCCCCTGGAAGGCAAAACGCAAATACTTTCTGTGCTTTGGAGCAATTTCGACATGAAAGTAAGCGTCCTTCAGGTCGATGGTTGTGAACCAATCGCCCGGCTGCCGTAGTTCCAGTAATTGGTTTACATATGGAACTTTTTGCAGGCAATGTGCTGATTCAGGCTGCGAAGATCCAGAATGGGTCTGAACTCTCCTGTCTTCTTGGAAACCAGGAAGTGCATGGAGTAAAGCCCCTTGTCTCTGTCCTGAGAGTGCACAACAGAAACAGCCTGTTTTTGCAACAGGGCCTGAATCTCTGTTGAAAGGGAACCTATCTCATCCTGGGATGATATATTTGCCTCCCTTATGCCCCTGAATGGAGGAGGGACGCTGCAAAACTGTGAGTAACCCAGTTTCAGTGTCCTGTCCATCCACTCTGTCAGTACACAGCTGAGCTTCCATTCCCCATAAAACTGTGTTAGGGGACATGCAAGCAGCTGTGGAGCCGCAGCTAAGAAGCTGTAGTACTCTCTGGTGGCCCACTCCGCCGCCAAACCTTCCATAAAAGGAAGTTTGGCCCATGAGGGGCTGACACAGAAAGGGCAGATTTTCTACTGAGGTCCTTGAACGCACCGCGGCACGCTCTCGTGGGGCCGCGTGCTCCGTCATAATGCCGTCTTCACACAGACGGTGAAATGCA